GGAAATGAATATCGCAACGCGAAATGAAAATCGCATTGGTTTCGCGTTGCGATTTTCATTTCGCGTTGCGATTTTCATTTCTCTCGTTGCGATAGTCATTTTCGTGTTGTGATTTTAATGTTGCGATTTTAAGTTTAGAAACTATTCTTCTTCTGCAAATTGAAACTTTAATGGATTGCATTACTTCAACCAAAAGACAAATACTAACTTCATAGGGTTAAAGACTAAACAGTTTAGCAGTATTAACAGCAATCGAATGAATTTAATAAAAAATCTAAGTGAAATGGTTAATCTATTATTGAAATTATCAGTAAACTTATCATCAATTTCAATATGAAAAACTTAAAATAATGCAAAAATTTTAAAATAAAAATAATTAAAAAAACTAATCCTCGGAGGTTGATTTTCCATTTCTGAATGATTGTGAGGGATTTCTGACCGTGAATGGTTGTGAGGGATTTCGCCGGAGATGGGGACGGAAATCTTCGGAGATGGGGACGGATTTCGCCGTAGAGAGTGAGAGATGGAGATGATACTGAGTTGTGATTTTAGGTTTTAGGTTATGAGTTGCGATTACAGGATATACTGTGGACAGTTCAGTGTTCCGATAATTAATATTCGTGTTTGGAATTTGAAAATAAAATACGCGTAGCGATTCTAATGGCGCTTTAAAAATCGCGTTGCGATTTACGCATACGCGTTGCAATTTTACGTATTGTCGTTGCGATTTACGTATTCTCGTTGCGATTTACAGATACGCGTTGCGATTTACGTATTCTTGTTGCGATTTACGGATACGCGTTGCGATTTTACGTATTGCGATTTACGGATACTCGTTGCGATAGTCAGAATCGCGTTGCAATTTATATGTTCGCGTTGTGATTTTCATATTCGCGTTGCAATTCTGGAAAATCGCAATACGAATTTATACCATCGCATTGCGATTCATCATAATTGCGTTGCGATTCTGGGAACGGATTTGCGATTCTGGAGATCGCGTTGCGATTTTTATTTCGCATTGCGATTTTGTTAGTCATTTTGGCAAATCCAAAAAAAAATTGGTTAAAATCGTATATTATAAGACATTTTTTATCACGGAGGTGATTTTCTCTTTTTATATATATTTCAAATTTGCTCTATTGTTTTACATTTATTTTTATTCGATTGCCATTTCTGCTATTTTGTTTATTTCGAATTGGCGTATGTTTTTATTTTATTTTATTAAATGTCAGTCCTTATTTGAATTTTATTACTAACTTACTAACTATTAACTTCTAATTACTAACTTGCAAGTTACTAACCCTTTATTTTTATTCGATTCTATTTATTGTTATTTATATTTTCTCCCTTTGATTTTTCAAGTCTTTTAAATTTATTCTCTTTACTTTTAGTTTGTGTTATTCCATATTTGTTATTTATTTATAATAGTCGTGTTTTTTTAGCATCAACCTCGTGATTTCACTAAATTTTTATTTTATTTACTTAGTTTCGGATTTCATTTTAATTTTAATATTTATGTGAATGATAATGTCTGATTCATTTTCCATATATACTTAAGTATTTGTAATAATTAGCTCTATCATATATCAATTTATTATTAAATATATTATTTATGGTATATAGAGTCGTTGACATATGTTTCATTCTTTGAATATAAAACTCCATTATATATCTATTTTACCATTTGAGATTACTTGCCTTATATGGAGTTGGTGTACTTTATACTGAGATTACATATATGCCTTTTTGTACTTTATAAATAAATATATATATATATATGTTACGTGTGCTACATGGATTAATCTTATATTTTATAATAACATATGTACATATATTTCGTACCTATCGCATATCTTTTATAATATATTTTATACATATATGGGGTACCATACAATTATTATTTTTCATAACTTGTAAATAGTATGTATATTTTACATTTACTTATTAAATATCATTAAACTTGTTGCTTTTCTCATTTTATCCCTTTTACCTTTTTATTGTTTTTAAAATTAATAAAGATTAATAATTAGGTCCTCTACTTTAGTTTAATTTCATTTTAGTCTTTTAATTTATGTGAATTTTTGATATGGTCTTCGCTTTTATGCCAAAGATTCAATTTTAATTATTTGAATCAATAATTTACTAAAATGGTTAGAATTAATATTAGAGCCTATAATTTAGGTTAAAACCTCTAGGTCCTTTAAAATTCATAATTTGACACTTAAGTTAGAGTGAAACTTTAATTATCTCACTCAGTATAATTAGATTAAATAATGAATTGCTTGATTGCATTTTGATTTCAAAATAAGACAATGTTCATTTATTAGGGAATTAATCGTGTATTTTATGCCTTTGTTCGGGAGTAACCACTATTGATTATCAAAGTAAATCGACATCCTTTTTAAAACTCATGTTTTTTTAATTACTAAGGCAATGTTCATTTATTGAGATTGATAATGAAGCTTTCGTGTGTGCTCAGGGTGAGCATTATCAGTCATGGTAAATGAACATCTTTTTTAAAATTTGTATACATAATGAATTTTAAATTAAATAAAACTATGAACTCATAATTTCTTATTTTAGAACATAGGGTAATCGATTAGGTACTAACTTTTAAGTGTTGTGGGAGTTAATCCTTTCCACTCGACCACACATAACTGACTTTATTGAACCTATTTTAATATAACAATTTTAAGAGCAAAATATTTTTGGTCTAAATTGAATTTATTCAAAGTTTTTAAAAATAATTCAAAGTCCTTTAAACTTAAATTTGAACACAAAAATGGTTTTCTAGAAAAGAACTATCAATACTATTCCTACAGTATCAATACCACATTAATAGTATCGATACCCAAGGTAAGAGAAGTAACGATACTCTTATGGTAGTATCGATATTGCCTATTTGTTTTAAATGTGTTCTAATTCCAGTAGGCATTTTTGGTATCGATACTTAAAGGAGTATTGATATTGCTTTATATACTAGTATCGATACCATGATCTCATTACCGATACTCCCAGCCCAACGGTTGAAAAACAACTAGTTTCTATTAGTGTAGTATCGATACTTCAAGCCCGAGTATCGATACTTCCTGGTTTGGGTAGTTTTATTTTACAACAATTAAGTCTCCAACGGCTCTAATACATTCCCAACGGCTAGAAACGATTACAAACTCATTCCAACATATATAAACAAGTTGAAGATACTTGAAGAAGTTTACTACACTTATCCAAGCAATACAGATCAAGAGAAAAGTTCTTTCAATCTTATTTTTCCTTTTCTCTTGTACATAAAGTGTTTTAGTGAGCTAAATTGTGTAAATAACTTCTTTTGACAGGTTTCTTGTTTATAATCTTTTATCTTTATTGAAAATAGGTTTTGGTTTTATCTTAGCCATTGAAAAAGATAGAGAATTTGTAAAGGTTACTATTGAGCCTAGAAAAAAAAAGAATAAATTAGTGAATTTGTTGGAAATCTTTAGCGAGGAGCTAAGGTAGTGGATGTAGATTTTATTGAGAAAGTTGAATCACTATAAATCTTTGAGCAAATTTTCCTATCCCTTCTCCTAAATTCCCAAAATTTTAAAAAGACTAATTCACCCCCTTTTGGCAACAATATTGGTTGATCAATTAAGCTTCAAAAATCTTAACAGACTCTCAAACCCGATTTTTTATTTCGCAGAGTAAAACATAGTATTTTGATAAAATAAATTATTTCATTAAAATTACTCAACTTTAGGAATTCTAATCTCACTTTAAAATTATTGATTACGACTCTAGTTTTTTCATTAAAATCACTCAATTTTAAGTATTTTGGTAAGATAAATTATTTTTTTAAAATTACCGATTTCACGTACTAAACCTTTATTTTCAAAAAAAAAAAAACTTTCAAAAATATCATCGAACGATTTTTAATATTATTTATAAAATGGTGTCGACAATATATGAAACTCATTTAGATGGAAAACATAAAAGTTAGGAAACAATTATAAAATAAATTAATAATTGTATTAGACACGCACACGCATGTTTGATTATCAAATTATTCGTTTTAAGTTAAGAAATTTTAGAGAGGATTTGGATAAATATATTATGTACGAGTTTAACTTGTTTTCTAAGTTTATAGTATATCATATTATTTTAATTATATTTATTATATCAAATATATCAAATCTTTATAAATTAAAGAAATATAAATATGATTTTTTTTTCAAATCGAATCAAAATCGATTGAAATAAAAATATAGTAATATTACTATTAATATAAATATATATTTTGCTTAGCAAAGAATAAAATTATATTTTATTAGTTTAAATTTGAAGAACAAATTATTTGGATATATCCAATTAGAGATCGATTTTTTTCTGATTCAAATAGAACCGTTAGTTTTGTTAAAAGGAAAAAATATTTAAAATTATAATAAAGTTAGTAAACTAAACACATAATTAGTGATCTAAAATGGATTAAACCATCAAAATTGGGGGATAATTGTCCTTATCCCGTACCTTCATTCCTATCCACCTACTCACCTGAGAATTTTAATTTCATAATATTTTAGACATAATTTTTTATAAAGAATTTATTCTCATCTCATAAAACTTTATAAATATAAAATTTTATAAATTTGTTTCAAACGTAAAAGAAAAGTATATGCATGTGAGCCATATTCACCACATAGTTTCCCATTCCCTACCCCCACGCTGGATGGTAGAAACGCCAGGCTGGCAACCGTTACACATTTCGAATCCAACGTGAGAAAGATCCGCTGCCCAACCAAATCCCTTTTTCAGATCAACGGCTCAAATCTTCTCCCACGATTTATTCACACTTCTATCCCATCTTCCTTTTCTTTCTCACTCTTTTCTTCTTTGCTTCACTAAAACAGGAATCTTGTTCCGGCTCCCTACATTCACTTGCTGGCTTTTTTACTGTCTTTGACTTAGATTCAATCCGCACTGTCTTTGGTTTGTTTACATCTTGTTGGGTTTTTGTTTTCTTTTTTAATCTCTAGATCTGCTGTAATTTACTTTCTTTTTTGCTTCTGGATTGTGGGGTTTCATTGATGGTTCAGTTAAGTACATTGCGTTGTTATGCTGTTTGGGTGCTGAGAATATCTGGGTACTAGAAACATACTTTTTCATTGATTGTGTGGTTCGTCCCTTTGGGAATCTGATTCCTTCTTTTTACCCTTTACAATTTTGAGTGATCCTCCAATTTTTTTTTTTTTTTTTTTGTAATTTCTTAATCCTTTGCTAATAATATTTTCCCTTTAATGCAGTTGTGAAGATGGTTGCACAAAATTTCACCGTTGATTTGGATAAACCCCTTGTCTTCCAGGTACCGAAATCATGCGTTTCATTTTGGTCTTATCTTTTGGAACAAGCATGTCTGGGTGACAGCTATCGTGTAATTGGTTTTCAACTATCATATTTAGTGTCTTTTGTGATTAAAATAATGATTAATTGAGCTGTTTTTCGAAAGAAAAAAAATTGTTGTTTTGTCGATCCTTTCAGTTCTTTTGTTTATTTCCTTAATTTGATTTCTTGGTGGTGTTAAATCACAAGCTAACTTGTTTACCACTTCGTGGGCTACACGCTCTTTCTTCTTTGTTGCATTTTAAATACTTTTAGCAATCTTATGCATGTGGGAGATTGATATTGGTTTATGGTTATAAACTATATTTTGACTGTTTAATGATCTATGACAGGTTGGTCACCTTGGAGAGAGTTATCAGGAGTGGATTCACCAGCCTATTGTGAGCACGGAAGGTCCGAGGTTCTTCGAGAGTGATTTTTGGGAGGTATTTATTAGCATTTTGAAATAATTTTAATTAAGCATTACCGATGCAATATGTCGTAAGTGCGTGCTAATGCTTCTTTGGCTTGCTTTACTCGAAACAGTCCCTGACTCGTACTGTCTGGTGGGCAATTCCAACCATATGGCTGCCTGTTGTATGCTGGTTCATCTCAATGTCTATACGTATGGGGCATACATTTCCCCAAATTGCTTTGATGGTTTCTTTTGGCATTTTTATGTGGACATTAGTGGAATACATTTTGCATCGATTCCTTTTCCACATTGAAACAAAGAGTTATTGGTTAGTTGTTTCTCATCTGGACTCTGAATCTTACAAAAAAAAAAACATTTACGACTTTTTATTATGTTTTTCTGCATATGTTACCTTCAGAGTATGCTACAAGGATGTAATAATTCATTAAGAACTTTGGTATAGGGGAAACACCATACACTATCTTCTTCACGGCTGCCACCACAAGCACCCTATGGATGGCCTACGGCTTGTTTTTCCACCTGCTGCAGCTGCTATATTATGCATTCCGGTGAGTATATTTTACTTCAATTTGTCTTCCTTCATATATTGCATGATGCTTTCTAGGTCTTCACCATTGAATTATTTAGTTGGCTGCGGGTTTTGATAATAGTTTGCATTTCGAAACCTTGAACTGTGAACGTTCAACCTCAAAAGCATTTTGTTACATATGCAATTCAAGTATCTTTGAACTATTTTAATTATTTGTTTTACACTCGACCATTTTGCGCAGTTTTGGCACCTGATTAAGCTTTTCACCACTCCATCCACTACGCCTGGTTTGTTCGGAGGCGGTTTGCTTGGGTATGTTATGTATGATGTTACCCATTACTACCTACACCATGGTCAGCCCACCAAACAAGTTCCTAAAAGCCTCAAGGTAAAGAGACTTGTGCTCCAACTAGTTGCAGCCAACTTTTCATGCTAGCTTAACACCAAATATCTCGGTTAGGTCGTCGCTATAAATTTTCAGCACCATAGATTCCATAGAGTTCATTGTCTAGCAAAGCTGGTGGAGTGTTCCATGGCTTGACTTGATAATTTTTGTTGCAGAAATATCACTTGAATCATCACTTTAGGATTCAAAATAAGGGGTTTGGGATCACGTCGGCGTTTTGGGACCGAATTTTCGGAACCCTTCCTCAAACTAAGGCAGCAGAGAAAGGTAGATAATTTAGCAGGCTAGTTTCATAGCAAAACATTGATTGGTATTGAACATTATTTACTTGTGCTTGTATTTTATTTTTGGAGTATTTTCAATCCACACATGGAGGAGTTTGTGTATATGAATTTTCAATTGTTTACTTCTTAGTTCTCCAACAATTTGAAATCCCAATTATTTTGTAGAAAATTCATTGCCTATTGTATTTCATATGGAAAATGATTGCAGTTCCAATATTATTATTAGTCGTATCTACATTGCTTTGCTTTTAGCTTTGCTTTTAGAAGCAATATTTGAATCTTCCCAAATATTATAAAATAAAAAATATAAAAAAAATGCATAAATAGATATCGAATTCGGATTTCCAGGCAAGTAGATTTGTACAATGAATTCACATATGGGTAAACTATACCACTGACCCCTCAACTCTGTAGTCCTTTTACTTTTGCCATTGATCTTTTAATTTTATCAATCAGACCACTTAACTATTTAAATGTGTTCAATCAAGCCACTAGTCGTTAATAGTTTACCAAAATACTGATGTGACCGTTAAAGAAATTGGCATAATTTAGTCCTTAATGTTTGTATATTTTATCAATTTGGTCCTAATTTAAATTCAATTTAATAAATTTAATCCTCTAATCATATTATGACACATGTCACAACACGAATGTATTTTTTTTAATTTAATTATTTTATTTCCACCCAATCGTATGGTGACATATGTCACTGTCGGATTGGATGGAAAATTGAGAGTAGAAGAAAAACTTCCAAACTAGGGAGTTAGGGGAATCGAACCTACGAACATTGGATGATGAGCTAACACCCAAATCACCAATATAACATATTGTAATGAATGAGAAAAAAGTTAAAAAAAATGCTATTTAAGTTAAATATATATATATATATATATATACATATATATATATTATTACTTTTTTTTTAGTTTTTTTCATTCATTATAATATCTTATATATTATATGAGATTAAATTTATTTTAAATTAAATTTAAATTAGTACCAAATTGATAGAATATATAAATATTAAGGACTAAATGTATAATTATACCAATTTCTTTAGTGGCCACATCATCATTTCTGTCAACCATTAACGGCTAGTAGCTTGATTGAACACATTTAAATAGTTAAGTGGTCTGATTGATAAACTTGAAGATCGATGGTGTCATAACCCATTTTTTAAACAATTAAGTTTAAAAAACAATCATGACTTTATTTGAAAATTTGATGATTTTGATTAATTAGAAAGATTTTGATTAATTAGAAAGATTTTGAATTGTAGTCGCCATCGACCTTTAAGTTAGGTAGGTTGAAAACCTAAAAAAGCATTTTGAAACAATTTTAAGGAAAACCCATTTTTAAAACAAAAATCGGTATGTGTTTACCAAAAATTCGACTTAACAGGTATGGGAGTCGGTTACGCGTAGGGAAGGATAATCACCCCCACAACGCCCAAAATTGATACTTAATCACTTACACACTGTTGTAATGGTGGAAATTAAAATTTGAATAGAAAATTAAATTATGAATCATTTATTGAATATTAGTTAATTTATTCAAAATTAATTATTTAAAGAAAATTCTGACTTTCCTTGAATTACTTAAAATATTAAAATAATATCAAAATTTTGCATAAAATAAATTATTATTCATTTTTCGACAACATACATCATTAATACTAACATTAAATAAAACATAATGAAATATAAAAAAAAATAAAATATTATAAAAAAAAAATACCATTATTTTAATAAATACATAAAGGCTCGTGCTCAAGTTCATATTCTGTTTGAACATCGTATTAGATTACACTATTTCGATCAAGTAGTGCTTTCCACACCCATTCTACAAATGAAGTTCGTGAAAATATTGAAGTGACATATCAATAGATAAAGAAATACAATGGAAACAAATATGATTTGAAATATATATAATAAACATCTACAACACATAGGGCTAATAATATTTATTTAATACAATGCATATAAACATAATATGCAAAATATGTTATACAGAAAGGACTAGAATAAAAACAAGAAAACATTATAGATCAAAATACAAACAACATAAATAAGCTTATTTGGTGATTTAAGGGACTAGAATGGTATTAACAGAAACTTGAAGGATAGAACAAGAATTACAAGCAAACCAAATCAAACATATTAAACGATAAAGGTACTGGAAACGAAAAAAATCCATAAATAATATTAAGGACTCAAATAAACTAAACCAGAAACATGAAAGAGCAAATAATAATTATTCCTAAATGAATTCCTACTAAATAGTGACCAAAACAAAAGAATCATAAATCACAGGGCCAAATTCGAAAATAAACGAACATAGTATAATATATGAACCATTGACTTAATTGCAAATATTAAAAAACAAAGGTCTGAAACAAAATATCATAAAATATCATTCGATACAGGGACCCAAATGGCTATTTTACCCCTAAAACTTAAAAAAAACGGGTGAAGGAGTGAAACTATGTCGTTTTACTCTAGGTATTTAAGCCCGATTTTAAGGCTTTTCTGTCATCCTCTCCTCATTTCTCCTCTTTGTTTCATAAAAGGAAGAGGGAGAGTTCCCAAACACTCTCAACTCCCTCTCATTGGGAGAGGGGTCCGCAGTTCATCGGCGGCGTTTCATGGCCACTCACTGTAGCCGAAGGAAACAAAAAAAACCCCAAAATTCTCTCACGTCCTCCTTAGCCCGATTCTTAGCCCCTTTAGCCTAAAACCTCCCCTAGAGTCCTAGATCTAGGTTTTATATCTTTCAAACACTTTGAAAACTAGCAACTTTGGACTTCGACTTGCTTCGAACTAAGGTAAGATGTTTCTCTCTTTTTTTTATATTCTTTCTTTTTTCCTTTTTGGTTTTTTTTTTCTCTTTTTGTCTTGAATGTTTGAAGTCTTTTTTTTTCTCTTGGTTCGAATATTCCTGAAAATGGTCTCCTTTCTTCTTTTATGGTGATGCATGTTGGATTTTTTCTTGATTTCGGGTGAAAATCATTAAATCTATTCGAAGGGTCATGTTTTCTTTGAGTTGATATGCGGCAGCCACAACATGTTGTGATGGCAACAGTAACTCCTAAGGTTAGGGTTTTTAGAAACCCTAGGGTATTGCTATTGGGTCGGGTCAGATCCTCTTGGGTCCTACAATTAGGCTCAGTCGAGTCTACTCTTAGGCTTCGTTCTTGTGCCGAAACCGGGCGTGCTTGGTTGGTTATGCCTTGGGTTGCTGGGCTTATTTCTTTGTGGGCTTGAATCAAGTGGGTTGGTATGCTGGGCTTTGTTGGGCCTACAAAAATGTAATTAGAATATTATTAATATAATAATAATAATAATAATAATATAATGATAAATTAGAACCCGAACAAAAATGGGTGTCTACAGTTGTCTCTCTTTGCACATTCTTGTTTTAACAAGAATAGGACAAAGACGATAAGACAATGAGTTTTTGTCTGATTCTCTCTTTGGCTTTGAAATTTGATATTAAAGACGACGTTGCTCATCCATGTTGAAGAGATATGGTTTCTTTTAGATAGATTGTTTGTTGAAGATGACATTGTTTCTTCTCATTGAGGAAATTGGGTAAATCTGAAGATGATTTTGGAAACAACATGGCTCCTATACATTGAGGAAGTCTGATTGACTAAGGATGACACTGCTCCTTCGTGTTAAAGAGATCTGGTCGGTGGATGACATTGTTCCTATGTGATGAGGACGTCTAGCCGTCTTTAGGGTAATTTGGAGACAACACAGTTCCTGCTTGATGAGGAAGTCTTAATGTCAGAGGATGACACTGCTCCTACGCGTTGAGGAGATCGAATCAGTGGACGACATTGTTCCTATGTGATGAGGACGTCTATCTGTATTTAGGGATAATTTGTAGACAACACGATTCCTACGTGATGAGGAAGTCTGGTTGCCTGAGAATGACGATGTTCCACGTGTTGAGAAGATCTGGTCAGTTACCTGAAATGGAATCTTCTTCTTCAACATAGAATTGTGAAACAAAGTCTTTTCTAACATTGAATTCCTATCAAATATTTGAACGAAAATAAGTGAGTGGAAGGAAATTTGTTTCAAGAGAAGCTATCTCAGGTGAGATAAAATTTTGTTTCGAATGAAACGTTTCAAAATTTGCATTTCAAGGAAAAACTGTCTCAAGCGAGAGGAAACTTGTTTAGGAAAACAATCTCAAGAGAGATCAGTTTTGCTTCAAGTGCAAAAATTTCAAAATTTGTGGAAATTTGTCTCAAGCGAGACGAAATTTGTTTCAAGAGAAACAATCTCAAGGATTTGTGTTTCAAGAGAAATTTTCTCAAGGGAGACAAAATTTGTTTTTAGAGAAAACAATCTTAACTGAGAACAATTTCAAAATTTTGTGTTTAGAAGGAGAATTATCTCAAGCAAGATGAAATTTGTTTTGAGGAAAAACAATCTCAAATGTTTGTGTCTTAAGGAAGACTGTCTCAAGTGAGATAAAATTTGTTTTGAGAAAAACAATATCAAAGTCTTATGTTTTAAAAGAAAATGTCTCAAATGAGATAAAACTTTATTTCAAAGAAACAATCTCAAATGTTTATGTTCAAGACAAATGTCTCAAGCGAGACAAAATTTGTTTTTAGGAAAACTATCTCAAGTGAGATCAATTTTGTTCAATTGAAACAATTCAAATTTGTGTTCGAAGGAAAACTGTCTCAAGAGAGACGAAATTGTTTTGAGAGAAACGATCTCAAAGGCTTATGTTTCAAAAGAAATTGTCTTAAACGAGATGAAATTTGTTTTTAGGAAAATAATAAACTGAGGTCAATTTTGTTTCAAAAAATTGTCTCAAACGAGACGAAACTTTGTTTAGAGAGAAAAAATCTCCAATGTGACAGACAATCTTCTCTACATGTTGAGGAAATGCCTTTAGAAGATCTGATCGTTTACTTCAGGATGTCAATATGTGGATGACATTGTTCCCACGTGTTGAGGACATATAGTCATCACCAAACTTTTATTTCCTGAAAGGTCAAAATGATGCATTTATGAATGCTTATCTTGAATGTTTAATGGATGTCAAGATGAAGTTATTTCATGTATTTGATTTGATGAGTTTTTAATTTGTCCTCATGAGAGGGGGGAAATATCTTTAAGAAATACAAGATTCCAAGTGAA